ATTATTTCAGGGATGATCTCATTTTTGTAAAGCCTTTGTTAGGAAAATGTGTTCAAATGCATAAATTATAATCTTGATGAAAAATATAAAATAATAAAATTATTTTCAGGTGGGATGGACTCGATTTTTCATGCATTTTCATGTATTCATATTTCCATGTTTTCATTAAAAGACTATAATTCATGCATTTTAACACATTTTCCAGGTCAAAAAGATTTTTTACAAAAAATCGAGTCCAACCCCCCTGAAAATGAATTTTAACATATTTTTATATTTTCATCAAAAGACTATAATTCATACATTTTCCAAAACAAAAAGAAATTTTACAAAAAAATCGTGTCCATCCCCCCTGAAAAAGAGATATATCATAGTTTCATATTTTCACGAAAAGACTATATTTCATGAATTTTAACACATTTTCCACATCAGAAAGATTTTTTATAAGGAATTCTACTCCCCTCCCCTGAAAATGAATTTTATCATATTTTTATATTTTCAGAAATACTACAATTCATGCATTTGAATACATTTTGCATATAAAAAAGAAGTTTTACAAAAATAGGGATTCCACCCCCTGAAAGTGAATTTTATCATGTTTCCATGTTTTAATCAAAAGACTATAATTCATGATTTTTAACACATTTTCCACACAAAAAGATTTTTTTAAAAAAACCCGAGTCCACCCTCCTGAAAATGAGTTTTATCATAGTTTCATATTTTCATCTGAAGACTATAATTCATGCATTTTAACATTTTCTCACGTCAAAAGATTCTTTACAAAAATTGAGTCCACCCCTCTGAAAATGAATTTTAACATATTTTTATATTTTCATCAAAAGACTATAATTCATAAATTTCCCAAACAAAAAGAACTTTTACAAAAATAGGGATTCCACCCCCCCCTCAATGTGAATTTTATCATATTTCCATATTTTCGTCAAATGACTATAATTCATACATTTGAACACATTTTCCACAACAAAAAAAACTTTTACAAAACTAGGGATTCCACCCTCCTGAAGGTGAATTTTATCATATTTCCATATTTTTGTCAAAAGACTATAATTATTACATTTGAACACATTTTCTGCATCAAAAAGAACTTTTACAAAAATATCGAATCCATCCCCACTGAAAATGAATTTTATCATATTTTCACCAAAAGACTATATCTCATGAATTTTAAGAAATTTTCCATATCGAAAACTTTTACAAGGAAATCAAGTCCACCCCCCGCCTAAAGAAAATTTTAACATATTTTTCTATTTTCATCAAAAGACCATAACTCATACATTTTCCAAAACAAAAAGAACTTTTACAAAAATAAGGATTCCCCCTGAAAGTGAATTTTATCATATTTCCATATTTTCGTAAAATGACTATAATTAATGCATTTGAACACATATTCCACATCAAAAAGAACTTTTACAAAAAAATCTAGTCCACCCCCCTGAAAATGAATTTTATGATATTTTCATCAAAAGACTATAATCATGCATTTGAACACATTTTCCACACATCAAAAGGAACTTTTACAGAAAAATCTAGTCCATCCCCCCTGAAAATGAATTTTATGATATTTTCATCAAAAGACTATAATTCATGCATTTGAACACATTTTCCACACATCAAAAAGAAATTTTACAAAAAAATCGAGTCCATCCCCCCTGAAAATGAATTTTATCATATTTCCGTATTTTCATGAAAAGACTCTTATACATGAATTTTAACAAAATTTTTTCGTCAAAAAGATATTTTTTAAAAAAATCGTGTCCACCCCCACTGAAAATGAATTTTAACCTATTTTTATATTTTCATCAAAGACTATAATTCACATTTTCCAAAACAAAAGAACTTTTACAAAAATCGATTCCACCCCCTGAAAATGATTTTATCATTTTTTCATATTTTCATCAAAAGACTATAATTCATGCATTTGAACACATTTTCCACATCAAAAAGAACTTTTACAAAAAAATCGAGTACACCCCTGAAAATGAATTTTATCATTTTTTCATATTTTCATCAAAAGACTATAATTCATGCATTTGAACACATTTTCCACAAGAACTTTTACAAAAATCGAGTCCACCCCTGAAAATGAATTTTATCATTTTTATATTTTCATCAAAAACTATAATTCATGCATTTTAACACATTTTCCATCAAAGAACTTTTACAAAATAAGGATTCCACCCCTGAAAATGAATTTTATCATTTTTTCAAATTTTCATCAAGACTATAATTCATTCATTTGAACACATTTTCCACATCAAAAGAACTTTTAAAAAAATTGAGTCCACCCCTCTTGAAAATGAAATTTTTCATATTTTCATGAATTATAATTAATGCATTTGAACACATTTTCCTTATCAAAAGAACTTTTACAAAAATTGATTCCACCCCTGAAAATGAATTTTATCATATTTCCATATTTTCATCAAAAGACTATAATTCATACATTTTCCAAACAAAAGAACTTTTACAAAAAATCGAGTCCATCCCCTGAAAAAGAATTTATCATATTTTCATATTTTCACCAAAAGACTATATTTCATGAATTTTAACACATTTTCCACATCAGAAAGAACTTTTACAAAAAAATCGAGTCCATCCCCCCTGAAAATGAATTTTATCATATTTCCATATTCTTGCCAAAAGACTATAATTCATGCATTTGAACACATTTTCCACATCAAAAAGTTTTTTTCCAAAAAAATTGAGTCCACCCCCCTGAAAATGAATTTTATCATATTTTCATCAAGACTATAATTCATGCATTTGAACACATTTTCCTTATCAAAAAGAACTTTTAAAAAAAATTGAGAGTCCACCACCTCTCCTAAGAATGAAATTTTCATATTTTCATGAATTGTAATTCATGCATTTGAAGACATTTTCCTAATCAAAAAGAACTTTTACAAAAATAGGGATTCCACCCCCCTGAAAGTGAATTTCATCATATTTCCATGTTTTCATCAAAAGACTATAATTCATGCATTTGAACACATTTTCCTAATCAAGAAGAACTTTTACAAAAAAATCGAGTCCATCCCCCCTGAAAATGAATTTTATCATATTTCCATATTCTCGTCAAAAGACTATAATTCATGCATTTTAACACATTTTCCACACAAAAAGACTTTTTTTAAAAAATTCGAGCCCACCCCCCTGAAAATGAGTTTTATCATAGTTTCATATTTTCATGAATTGTAATTCATGCATTTGAAGACATTTTCCGTATCAAAAAGAACTTTTACAAAAATTAGGATTCTACCCCCTTGAAATGAATTTTATCATAGTTCCAAACTTTCATCAAAAGGCTATAATTAATGCATTTGAATACATTTTCCAATGAAAACCATAGAACACCATTAAAAAAGAAATTAACAACAGAATGAAATACATGGCTGCGTTGCCGACGAAGGTAGCACAAATCTGGACTTTACAGTTATTGCTTGGTTGCATTTAACCATAGAATGCTTCTCCATTGCAGTCGCTTTCATTGTCCAAGAAATTATGTCGCTCAGCTGAGCTGGAGAAACTTCACGATGTGAATAATAAAGAATGCGAACTGCTTGCTCAAAGATGGCTTTCGGAGGAATGCGCGCAAGCAGTGATGACTTTTTTACAACGCAAATCAAAAATATATTTGAAACATAAAGTTAATTCCTGTTTATGAAATCTTCGACGTATTTTCTTTCAGTGTATTTTATTCAGTATGATAAAAACCATTTACCACAAAGTGTTAAGCGTACAAAAGCACCCGCGCAAATATCTACTTGATGTCACGTGACAATATGTTAATTAATCACACTTATTTTTAAACAACTGCATCATTTTTCAACAAATGCGCAAGAAAATAAGGTTATTGCGACTAAGAAATCCGTTACGCCAGCAGTAAACACTGAAGTCTCAATGACTTCGACGATACAGAACGAGTGTTCGAAATTTTCCAGCAAAAATTTTTTTGCTATGTTTTGGAACTTGATTCAAAACGCAATTTTTCCTCCAAAGTAAAGATTTTAAAAATCGTGGTTAAATGAACGAATATGATTTGTTATTCAACTCAAGTTACGAATGATTTACACCAACAACGCTACAAATTACGTTGCGAAAAGGTTACAAACGGATCATTGTGACACAATATCCTATTTGTACAATAAATATTAGCACGCGCCATAAGTCTGATGCAAGTATACCTGGATGGTAAGTCATTCCTGTAAGCTCGTCCGCCATCTTCTTACGATGCCATCCACAATATCATCGTTGCTGATGTACTTATGAAACAAATCGCATTCCTCGTGATTTTTATCCTCAAGTTCTTGTATATTACCGCTGACCATCAACGTCTTTCTGTCTCGCAGGAACTACAATATTAAATATGCTGCTTTACTATTTGCTGACATGGATTTTTTAAAAATTCGAAACTGTAAATGTTTTCATCATCTGCGACGCGAACGTCCATGAATAACAATAGAAATTTATTGCATTTTCAAAGGTCCCGTGTCTAGTCGCTCTCCATCTATTTTCTAAGCTCCGCCAACCTCCTCTCCTTCTGTTTTCACAAACACCTTTTAAAGACAGGGGGTAGGGATAGGTAGTAAACCATTTTGGGGAACTTAGATGAAGCTATTCGTAGTTTTAATTACTTTCCAATGTCACAGTTAACACCTAAAACCATAACACATCCTCTAGGTTTAAGAAAAGAAAACAATTTAATGTTTATATAAAGTGATCAATAGGCGTGTATACAACTCAAATACATAACATGGCATAAATGAGGTAAAGTTAGAGAGCAACATCCAACTGGAGGATGACCCCACTCCACAAACTTCCTTTGAAAAGTTCCCTTTAAAAAAACACGACGAATACGTCAACTGAAATAAAAATTACGTAATGTTGTACTGACGAGCCACTAGGGGGTTAACAAAGTACTCTATTATATTAAGGGGTGTGGGTAAAGAGGGAAGTATGGAAGTAAAGGAAACTAAAACGAACAACTGACATCCACAAAGAATCCAAACTACAAATAAACATTCTTGGCCATGAATCACCATGACACATGAGCAATGAAAAACTAGTAACAGTAATTGAAGTGAATGAGAGAGGTGGTAAAGGGACTTTCACAACTCCATCCATGTGGGATCTACAATGTGAGAAAATATGAAATAATGATATGCAAAGTTACAATGCATCAGCAAGTTTAATTTGTCATGAAATCTCATGCATTTCTTTCATATTATATTACATTGACTCCCAAAGACTATAGTTCCTGCACTTAACACCATAAGACTAGAGTTCATGAAAATAACTTCTGACTGTTATAGTCTATGCCCCTAAATCACAAATATTATAATGAATCCACCTAACTCACTAACACTATACTTCTTGCATCTAACTCATAAACACTATAATTCACACAATTAGCTGGAAAACACTATATTTCATGTACCTCACACTCAAAAACTATAGTTTATGCACATAACTCCAAAGATTACATTTCACACACCTAAGTACCAATCATTAAATACAATAGATTTTTAAGAGATGACTTTTATCACAATATCTCTTTAGAGTATTCCTGACGCTAGCAAACGTGAAAATCAAGTTGTTAGTGATTATATCTGCTAAATATGATTGAAGAAAAATATCGAGCCAAGAATCATCTAAAGACATAGAAACAGAACATAAACTTACCACATCGCTTTCAATTTCATTGATAATGGCTTCTTCACCAAATTTCAACGAACGAATTTTGACCTTGCCTAAATGTAAAAGGAGTAATGTTGCAAAGGAAGCAAAGCGAGAAATGTCCGACGTCAATATATCTCACATTCAAAATATACTTTTCACGTTTTTCAGCCAAAGCCGTGTGTCGCTTTTCACGACACACTTTACGAGAACAGAATCGTAACCTTCAATGCAACAAGCCCCTAGCCAGCATATAATTACTAGAGAAAGCATGGTTTTTACATATGTAAAAAATTGACGCTCAATATTCAAAAGCATATTGAAAGGAAAACGGAATAATAAATTATGCAACGTCAACTTAAATTTTATTGCAAAACCAATCAAATTCATTCATACACATTACACTAGTTTAAATTCATAAAAAAAATCTTAAATTTTCGATCCGTGCCACGCCTTAACAGCTTTCTCTAATCTCCCTAGTTGACTTTTTATAAAGCATTGATATGTGGTTAATCTCTTTTACCGCGAATTTTGTTGTAGATGGACAACTTTTCGCATTAGACAGAATATTTCACAATAAAACCGTCTGTGAAAAACTATACTTTTAAAATTATAGTTGTTCATTCCTTTTTATGCAAGAGAAATCGCAAGTTATTAGTAGCCTTACAGATCTTCTTTCTCAATCAGTAAACCATAAATTTTCTTTTACTGCTCAACATTCTATTAAAAAAGGTAAAGGTGTGCGAACAGCAAGCGGTTTTAGATTATGTTCTAAGCCATGAAAACCGCATGAAATCTTTGTGACTATCTATAAACATCTTCACACGTTTCTCAAGATCACATTCAGTTTCGGTTCCAAAATTTATATTTTTCTCGTTATTATAAAGCATCTTGTAAGTTGCGCTATTCATAACAGCTTAGCTTTCCGTTAATAAGTGATAATGAGCAAAGTACATACAACATGTGGCTTTCAGCTTCGTAAACATTATTCTTCGTTAGTGGCGTTGACAAAACTACAACGAGAATTTCTTCTTTTAAAGTACATATTATTACTCCATAAATCTATTTATTGAGGCTTAAATAATCGCAATGATTGTACTATCTTGAAGCAATTGAATGAAAATTGATGAGAGACTTGCGGCTTCTTGAGAGATGCGGCCCCTTGTTGCAGAGTATTTGTCCTTTGTTGCATATTTCAAAAGGTTTTGAATAAACGGAACTTTTAATGAACTGAACCAGCAGCTGGTGGAAATGTCGAAGAAAATCTTGATAAACCTTTGAATAAATGGCTGGTCATGGTTAGAAGAGGTAGTCTATTGAATGGGTATGACTGGTAATTGTTAGAGATAAACCATTGAATAAATGGCTGGTTATGGTTAGAAGAGGTGGTCTATTGTTGGAGCATGATTTTCTAGTAGTTAACAACAAACCTTTGGGGTCAAAGCATTGTATTTATCAGGCCTGTTCATTGTGATTGTCCTCAAACCGCCATCAGTAGAGACAAGAATATTTTCAAACTCATTTGATGTATTAATGTCTTTGTTGGGTTGGCTGTTGGTCTTGGATTTTTGTCCTGAAGTTACATTTAAGAAATATTGAATAAATTTGCAATAACTGTTTTGGACTAAACAGCCCAAAAGTGTAAGAGATTGAGTTCAAAGATGTTTCATCTCCTTAATGAATGACTAGGTGTTTCACTTGCATGTCAAACCTTTTTAACAATATTTAACTTTAATAACTGTAGACATATAAAGGGAATATGGTGATCGAGTAAGAGAGATTGAATATGCTGCTTTTACACCACTGGTTTTTTCAACATCAGGTGGTATGGGGAAAGAGACGGCAATTGCTTATAAGCGGCTAGCTGATCTGCTGGCACAAAAGAGAAAGCTGCAATATGGCATCAGGCTAGCGTGGATGCGTTGTAAACTGTCTTTCGCACTGATTAGGTCAGCAATTACTGCGATACGAGGAAGTCAATCTGCCTCAACTCGCGAACATACTTTAAATATTGACCTAGGTTATTGGGAAAGTTGTCTTTACACTTGACTGTCCCTTTATCATGGATATTTTAAACATTGATGTTAGTTATCTTTGATTTAGTTTTTGACATTTATATTTGTATGTTGTAGTTTATAATTTTAATTAAATTTTAATTTTTTCTTTTTTTTAATCAAAATCGCGATTAAAGTTAACTAAGACAGGTTTAAAAAAAAACAAAAAAAAACTGTAGACATATAACAAACTTACTCCTGTAATGTTAAAAATATTGTTAGTCAAAAAATCTGTTCTATAGTTCAATGTTGAGAAGGACATGTACACAACAGGGAAATGATGTTCATACAGAATATTTTGCAGAAAAGCTTTGTGTTTATAATACACAGCAAAATTCAAAATCACCTAGTAAAGATTCCACAAGTGCTATATACTGTTTTTGTGCATCTACCTAAAAGAAAAGTTCAATTTAAAAGTATTCATTACATGCAATAGAAGTTTTTTTCAAAAGTACATAGGTATTTGATAGAGAATCAATGGTACATTTGCATTTTTTCCTGCATCACCAATACTAAGAATGTTAAGTACAAGATTTTACCTCCTAAATGTTAAGGAATTCTTCGTAAATACAAATAGGGATATAATTCAGATTGCATGGCTTGAGAGAAACTATGTATATTAAAACCATTGAAAAGCACAGATTTACATGCAGATATTTTAGCTGTATGTTCCGATAGGTACTCATAATTTCCAGAAGACCCACACACTCAGTTCTTAATTAACGGTGTGCTGTCAACTTTGCACAAAACAACTTTTTACTGTAAATAATTTGATGACGATAGATTTTAGTAAGACTTGTGAGAGTGTTCAATAAAATTGTTGAAAGATACAGTCCTTTGGTGATGTTTGAAACTAGATACATATTGAATGTTCATTATAAGATAAGTGCAGCCTTTCTTAAACTAAATATTCACCTGTGATAAATCACCCAAATCGTTCCATGCATTCCATTTTGCCTTTCCAACAAAGTCCAAAGTCCCAGGCTTTGGTGTATTACATTTGCCTAAAGAACCCTGGAAATGTATATTGTTATTTGGTTCGTCTTATTTTTAACTTTGATTGTATTGTATGGTGGGACTGTGAACAGTTATAATTGAAAAAAATTCACTGTGCCTTTGCAAAAATGTGATTCAAATGCAATGATGCACATTGTGCTTAAAAATTTAAAGTCACCATTTAATTGAAGAGTTTGTAGTTAGGAGATACAACAACTAATGTTCAAGCTTTATGTAAAAACCGGATACAATATCTTTATGAATCGTAAAATACCTGCTTAAAAAGGGCGTACATCTTTAACTTCAATTCATTCCCTGGATCTTGAGTTAAAGATCCTACTTTTCTTTTGCTTCTTTAAACTGGTGAGAGATTGCAGAGAACTTCGAACCATCTTCGTAAAAATGTTCAGGTTTAAATAAGGTCGAGATAGATAGTTCACTATACCACGACGAAAATTTGCATATGATTTACAAACTCTTGGCGTCACGTTCATTTGCTATAATAAAATTTACAATAAATATTTTTATTATTGATTGAACGTTGACGAATAAGAAAATTGATATCTAGAAATGACCATTGAGTTCTATAATAACTAGAGCGGCTAACTTTACTGGGGCGAGGATGCCAAAAAAATGGCGGCCAAAGGACGTATTTCCGCTGAAATGATCGCTTTGCAGAAAAATAATATTCTCGACCTCCCCCTGGTGTCTATAGTAAATTATAAAGAATTTTTCAAAAAAACAACACGATATCACAGAATATGGATAACGTTAGTTCCATATTCTGTGACGATTCTTTTTTGGCATTTCTTTTATAATGCCAACACTTCAATCGTTCAATTGTTGGATGTCGTAGTTTCCACAAAAAGGAGCATATCGCTTCTCACAGGTGAGGTAGTTGTTTGTTTTGTTAGTCCGTCAACGATTGAAAAGCAATTATACATGCACTTGAAAAGCCATAAAATACATATTAAAGATCGTATTTTTTAAGACTGACTTGAACGCCAAATATACTGATGTTTTCCTGTTTTTGTTTATAAAATTCTGCATACTTTTCTGTCATTTGTTAATGCATGAAATCGTAAATTTACCCATTTATTTGCAAAATAGTTTCCTAAAGCAAAAAAGACCCTGCACACATTTTGCTCTGTGAGTAAGTATCAAAAAGAAATGATCAGCCCCAATGGTACCCATGATTTGGAGCAGAGCTTGTTATGTTCTATTTGCTGACAACATGCAGGGAAGATCAAGGAGTAAAGATGACTGGAAGATATTATTGACCAGGCAGAGTCTTAAAAAATGATAATGCTGTAAAGATAATTGATTTATTGTCTGCCCTATCCAGAGTTATTTAATTTGATCGTGGTCAAATTCTATGGATGGAGACAATGGATTCACTAAGGATGCCTTGAATGCTTTGAAGTTAAAGTTCATGATCCAAAGAAAGATGGCAAGGTTGTGTGTGTTTTGATGCTTAATGAATTGTCAATTCACAAACATATAAAATGGGAAGGCCATAAAGTTTGTGTCAATGTAAACATTTGTACTGAGATTGATGATGACTCGATGCAGATGTGAAGCTTCAAACTGTATAAGCCATTGGGTTTTATGCAACTTAATGTTTAAATCATGTCATATCTTTACCAAAATATTTTAGTTGAGTGTTGTTTGAATGTTACTAATATCTAATGCACTATACTGAAGCATTAAAGATTCAGTGATGAAACCTTTAAAGTTACTGTACTATATTTCTTATATATTTCTTATATTTCTTTAAGAAAAATTTGAGCTTATTTACCTATTAGAGTACAGAATGGAGATTTATCATATGCATTATTGCTGCTTTTTTAAAGAAAAGTTTTTCACTTTTCAAAGCTTTTCTACAAATTTTTTGCTTCTTATTTCTTATCATGAGATTGATGATATAGAGGTAATATAATACAATAACTTTCAAATTTCTAAAAAGCTTTGAAGCTTCTAGCATAAAAGTACAGTATAGGTATGTAATTCATTTGGTTTTATTGCCTTGCTATGACATATCTACTTGCACTTCATCATTCTTATATGAACAAAACACCAGATGTGGATACTCAGAGAACAAAATGCACTACCAACTGCTTATGAAATTTATTATTGAGGTGAAAACTGTGTTAATAATTCAAATTATAGTGCACTTTTATTGCAAATATAGGAAAAACAAAACAAAGTGAAGAAGAAAGGTAGAAGTATTAAAACTACAAATGAATTATAAACACCATTGGAAGCATAAGTGTTTTGATGATTATTTGCATTTTGCCCAATTCATATATCAATACAACAAAATCAAAATGTGCTACAACTTTACAAGTATTTGATGCAGTTGCACTTCAGAACATCACAAAAAGGTTACTTAAAGTAATTTCTAGTAATTTAAAGTAATTTAAAGTAATATGCACATGAAAAACATGTGACTTGGACGAGATTTGAACTCGCACCTTCGGATACTGGTGTGCCGCTCTACCTGTTGAGCTACCAAGCCCACAGGGATTGGAGACGAGTCAAATTTCTTAAAACTGCGTATGGACGAGAGATTCTCGCCACTATATAGTAGTTTACTGGATGGCACCGTGTTTCGACTTTATTCCAAAGCCATCATCAGAGAATACATGTAATATATTAATCCTAACACAGTTTTAATATGAATGAAAAACATGTGACTTGGACGATTTGAACTCGCACCTTCAGGATACTAGTCTGCCGCTCTACCTGTTGAGCTACCAAGCCCACAGGGATTGAACACGGTCAAATCTTTAAACTGCGTATGGACGAGAGATTCTCGCCACAAAAGTAGTTTACTGGATGGCACCGTGTTTCGCCTTTATTCCAAAGCCATCATCAGAGAATACATATAATATATTAATCCTAACACGGTTTTAATATGCACATGAAAAACATGTGACTTGGACGAACTTTGAACTCGCACCTTCAGGATACTAGTCCGCCGCTCAACCTGTTCAGCTACCAAGCCCACATGGATTGGAGACCAGTCAATCTCTTTCAAACTGCGTTTGGACAGTGGCGGATCTAGGATTTTCAAACATCAGTCATAAAACGTCGGGGGCGATCCGCACCTGGGGTGGTCTGAGGCATTCTCCCCTGAGAAATTTTGAATTTCAGAACCTTGAAAATGCCATTTTCAGCGTTTTAGAGCAATACAAAATGTATTTTGTGGGCATCGGTTTTGCGTAAATACAACACATTTTGCTTACTTTTTTTTCAAAAAAAAAAAGAAGTGAACAATACTTGAATGTTTTGCCAAATATTTAGGCTCATTATCATGCCAAATATATGGCTCATTAGCATGTCTAGGAACGTAAAATTTATTTCACAATAATGCTATTCAAAAACAGATACAGTCTTTAAAAATTTCTACCAAGTTGTCAGGCATAGACCCCCCTAGAGACCCCCATTCAAACCTCTATGTAACGAGTTAAGTTAGAAATTTGGTACTACAAGTGACAGTTCATAGATATAGAAAAGCTCAGACTTCAAACCATGCAAGTTTATTGTAACCCTTTACCCATCTCCACATCAGTGTCAGCAAATTCACTTTTTGAGAAAAAACTCAAAATTTTTCTGCCAAAGATTAAGCAAAAATTATCAGAGTAAAAATTTGCAGTTAAGACAGCTTAATGTCATAAATGTTTATTAGGCATTTCACTAGACTATTATCTTCTGTAAGTATATGCAAGGTGTGCTATATAGCAATCACTAGTAGCATTGTATTTGCAAATACAAACAGAATGTAACCAACATGTCTTTAATTATATAATTACATGAATGTTATATTTGGTTCATGTGTCATGCTTACTGGTTATGATAAATATCTTTTGATATGATCAAAGCTCGTTTGATCTGAAATAATTTAGTTTAGAAATTATAATGATCATCAGAAAAATTACATAGTGATCATGAAAATACTTTGCTGTTTTGCCAAATTTCAAGGTTTATCTGCATACATAGGAAGACATTTTTACTCTATAAAAAATGCTTTTCATACATCAATAGCCCTTTGGATTTTATGGCAAACTTTGGATTTTATGGTATGAGCCATAGATTAACACACCTTTACATCTCTACATGAGGTGTTCAGTTTGAAAAGGGGACAATATGTGACATGGGACAACATTTCATGTATGTGAAATACTCAGGTTTAATACCATTCCAGTCAAATTGTCAAAATAAAAAGCTTCATGGATCAGAAGACTCAAAATCACAGGTTATAGTAAACAGCTTCTCATGTAATCAATGTTAGTTTTCTCAAATCTTAAACAATATGTAGTATAACTGTCCAATGATTGAATGATCAATGATCATAAACTGAAAAGCCCCAAACATTTGCTTATGATAAAGTAAATAATAGTATGGCGCCTTATGGCTACAGATTTTTTGTCCATTGAAATATATTTGCAGGAATGTAGGATTTTGCTGCCATATAACGGCCACGATTCCCCAAGCACTAAAGAAATTATAGCTAAAACTCCTTTGGCAACAACAATTTTAGAAGCATCAATCTGCTTACCATACGCCATATTGACATAAATCGCATCACATACTCGCATAAATTGACTTTGATATATTACATTCATGCATACACTTCACTTGTCCTTTACTTACGATTTTGATGTAAATTCTGCTGATAAAACTCAAAACAATGTTGGCTTTTGAACATCAATGACTGAAATATCGCTCGCGAGATCGTCTTCGCTAAGCATTTACAATTTATCCATAAATTTTTCACCCTCTTGAAAAAATTCACAGTTTGACAGCTTCATTCATGTCAATATATGAATTTGTAAAGATCATAAAATCCATCTGATTGTAGTTTAGTTTCTATCATGCTTATAAATTGCTATGAAACGATCAAACATTCAATTCAGACAGTGAGCTTGACCATGTTAGTTCAGTTGGCTATCAGTCGAAATCCGTCAAACCAATCACATAAAACAAAAATTCAAATGAACCAATTGTAAGATAGCAATGAAGTATTTGCCGGTTGCCAGTCTCCCTTAAATTTGCGCAAATTTGCTCATTATATTGAACTACCATTTTGCTTGCACCAAGTCAAATGGAAGAGAAATGGAGTGCAAACCATTGAGCTCTATAAGACCTGAGGGCAAGGCCTGGGCCTCGTGGTCAAAAACATGGCGGTAATGGCGGACTTTGGTTGTCAAACTTCCACTTTGAGAAAAATTTTTAACATTCGCCCTCCCGAACTGAACTCTATTAATGCTTGGCGTCAATGACAACCAGCTAAAACAACCACGATACCGTAAGCATAAAATATTGAAAATAATGCTTCAGGTTTTGTGAACA